TAAACATTTTTCTGGTATTCTCTGCTTTCAGCCAAGATCCATCTGATATCAACATTGATATCACGAGTTCCATAGCCTCATTTGAATCCAGCTTGAATTTCTGGCAGTTACCTGTAGATGCACTGTTGCAGCCATTTTTTAGTTTTCTTCAGCAAAATTCTACTTGCGTGTGATACTAATGATACTGTTCAATGATTTCACATTCTATTGGGTCACCTCTCTTTGGAATGGGCACAAATATGAATCTCTTCCAATTGGTTGACCTGGTAGCTGTCTTCCATGCGAGTGATGCCTCCAGTGTTACATCAGTTTGATGAAAGATTTCAATTTGTAGTCTATCAATCTTGAGTCTTGTTTTCTGGCAATGCCTTCAGTGCAGCTTGGACTTCCTTTATTTACTACCATCGGTTCTTGATCATGGAATACCATTCAACAATAAAAAATGCTAATCTGAAAAGATCGTATACTGTATGATTCAATTACACAGCATTTTTTAGATCACAAAGTTAATGAAAATGGAGAATAGTTTATTGGTTGTCAGGAGTCAAGAGGGTAAAAGTTGGGAGAGAGGCTGGTGGGTCATTAGAATGACATGAGAGATTCCTGTCATAAAGGAACCATTCAGAATGGGAGAAAATACTTGTAAATCATATATCTGATAAAAAAAAACCTGTAATCAGAATCCATAAAGAGCTCATATAAGTCAATAGAAGTCAAATAGTCCATCTAGTTAAGAAATGAGCAAAGGATCTGAACAGATGTTTCTCCAGAGAAGCTCTGCAAATGGCCTACAAGCACCTGAAAAGATCAGCATCATTAGTCATCAGGGAAATAAAAATCAAAACTACAGTGTGATACCACCACCTGCTCACTGTAAAGAAAAACCAGTTCCTGTCCAGTCAGTTCCAATTCATGGCAGCCTCATGTGTGTCACTGAAACTGTGCTCAAAGTGTTCCCAATGGCTGTGGTCATTGAATCCACTTCTGTTGTTGTTTTGTGCTGTGGAGTCGGTTCTGACTCATAGCGACCCTGTACAGGGTTTCCGAGGCTGTAAATCTTTACGGGAGCAGAAAGCCTCATCTTTCTCCTGCGGAACAGCTGGTAGTTTTGAACTGCTGACCATGAGGTTCGCAGCCTGATTCGCAACCACTATGCTACCAGAGAGCCTTTTGGCTAGTAGCTTGGTTAGTACTTGATGACTTGGGCCACGTGGGAACTCTTCCATGCTCACTAGGATGACTATAATTAAGATGACAGATAATGTTGATGAGTGTGGTGAAGCAGGTTGCTTTACATGGCCTTTTGTCTTGTTTCAAGAAGCCCTAGGCGTACTTGTTAAGTGCTTGGATGCTAAATGAAAAGTCAGTAGTTTGAACCCACCAGCTGCTCCATGGGAGAAAGATGTGGCTGTCTGCTCCCATAAAGATTACAGCCTTGGAAACTTTATGGGGAAGTTTTACTCTGTCCTATACAGTTGCTGTGAGTCACAATCAACTCCACAGCAGTGGACTTGTTTTTTTGTGTTTGTTTTTTTAAACACTTGATTCTTTGGAAAAATAGCTTGGAAAGTGCACACTTACCACTGGGCAGGCTGCACCTTGCAGCATGAATAGACTATGAAAATGAAATGTCTATGGCTTATTGAGAGGGAATTGGTCAGTTTGTGGCCCTGCTAAGAGGATCCATGCTTTGAAATTGACTAGTAATTGTGTATATATGTAACCACTCTCACAGAGGTTTTTCAGACCGAAAGAAGCAGGTAGTTTGGAAGAAGAAAAGAGAAAAGGAAAGAAAAAAGCAGCAGCGAGAAGGGTGACAGGAACCTCTTAAAAGAACACCTAAAATGGATCAAGGGCAGTAAACTGAAGACAGTGATGGGCCCTGAAAGGACCTAGTAGTCGAGCCAGTGGTGTTGACAGAGCTCAGGAGGCCAAGAAGAGGCCTGTACAGCCCAGAGGAACTGAGAGAAGTCTCCTGCGTTAAAGACAGGAGACTTGGCTACATGCTTCCTGAGTTGTAGCCTGCTGATCTCCATCCCAAGCGTACCCTGTCGCTACCTTGCTGTTAAGTGCCGTCTCCCAGAAAGCCTTATCCTACAGCACCACCAGCACTGTCACTGTCTTAATAGACCACATAACTTTAAGTATGAGCTGTGAATTCTGTGTAGCCATTGCAACAGATTATCAGACCCAGAAAAGAAGTACAGAGTGCAGCTGGAAGAATGGCTGGTGTCAAATTTGGGTTAAAAAAAGACTTTTTTTTAAGTTGGAGGGTGGAGGTATATCTTGACCTTTACCTTTACCTCATGGGGATCAACTTTGGACTGATCCAGATCATTATCCCCCTTTAACGTTAGACAGATTCTGATGATGCTACTACTGTCGCCATTTTGCAATGAAAATGTGAAAAAATTGGAGCCCTGATCCATGGCTGGTAGGAATATAAAGTAGTACAGCCACTTTGACAGCTCCTGAAAAAACAGTTAAACATAGAGTCTGCTGTATAACTCGGCAACTAATTCCACTCAATATATACCTAGGAGAATTGAAAACTTTGTCTACATGCATGTAAATCTTCATAGCAACATTATTTATAACATTCTGAAAGTGGAAACCACCCATCTGGCCATCACCCAATGAGTAGACAGCCATACAGTGGAGTATTAATCAGCCACCAGAGGAATGAAGGACGGATGTATGCCACCACATGGATGACTTTTGAAAACCTGCTAGGTGAAAGAAGTTGCCCACCAAAGCCCACATATTGTATGATTCCGTTTTCAGGCATACCTCATTTTGTTGTGCTTCACAGGTACTGTGTTTTTGGCAAATGTAAGGTTTGTGCAAGTTTGTGTAGAGCTGACACCATTTCCAACAGCATGTGCTCTCTTCATGTCTCTGCATCATGTTTTGGTGATGCTCACGATATTTCATATGTTTTTATAATGCTTGTTGTTGTAAGTGCCATCAAGTTGGTTTTGACTCATAGCAACCATGAATATGGTTTCTGAGGAGCTGCAGGTGGGTTTGAACTGCTGACTTCAGGGTTCAAACTGACCTTGCAATCCAGTGCTTTATCCTACAGAGTCACACCAGGATTCCTTTTTATAATGTTACTGTGAACATCATAATCAACAGGATAGTGTAAACATCATTTTTCTATGCACTGGGAAACTAAACAATTCATGTGGCATACTTTATTATGACATTGATTTTATTGTGGCAGTCTGGAACTGAACCCAGTGTCTCTGAAATACCCAGAATCAGAAAATCTGTAGACATAGAAAGTAGATATATGGTTGCCAGTGGGTGGGGAGAGGAAGGAATCAGTTGTGACTGCTAATGGGTATGGGACTTAGGGGGCGGTGATGCAGTGTTCTAAAAGTAGACTGTGGTCATGGTTGCAAAGTTCTTGAATATACTAAAATCCAACAAATTGTCAAACAAGTGAACTTAATCCTTGGGTGATATAAATGGTTAATATACTGGGCTCCTGACTGAAAGATTTTAGTTGAAGTATGTTAACAGGTTCCTTGAAAAACTCAGCCATTGAAATTGTATCTCAGCAAAGCACTGAATAACAATAACAAAGCTGTTAAAAAGATATTGTATCATGTATATTGTATTGATGGACACTTAGTAGTGTCTGTTGTTTATTTTTACTGTTACAGTTTTGTAGGGGATATACTTGTAAACTTGTCTTTATGCCTTAACCTTCCTGATATTCCTATGCAGTCTTAGAAGCAGATCCATTGGCCATCAGTAGTGTACATTCTTTATCTGAAAGTGACTTCACAATGACTAATTGTAGAGTAGCATATTATATAGGGTGCTTCCTGTTGTTAAGTACCGTTGAGTCAGTTCCAACTCAGCGATCCCGTATAGGGTTTCTGAGAAATGGCTGGTGTGTCTGAAATGCCAACTTGTGGTTAACAGTCCAATACTTATACTACAGCACCACACCAGAACATTTTAAATATCTGTAAAAGTGAAGTTTCATGTAGAGGAAGAGTTAACTGAATAGTTCCCAGTGACCTTATGGAGGAAGAGGAGACTAGGAGATTGAAAAAGCGAGATCAGGACAGCAAACGCATCCTGTGCATGTTTCTGCTGTCAGCCTTCCCTTCCTGGCTTTGTACAGAGCTTTCCATCTTGGGATGAACTGGACTAGTTTTTGTCTTAATTTTGCTCCATTAGGTGAAGGCATCCTCATCTCCTCTGAAGCTACAGAGCTTCTGGAATTCATTGACAACCAGGGCCAGGTGCACGTAATCCAGAAATACCTTGAGCACCCTCTGCTTCTTGAGCCAGGTCATCGAAAGTTTGACATTCGGTAATGTATCAGTGTCAGCAGTTCTTGTTTTAATGAATCTGAAAGAGTGGTAGGATGTGTGGTACGGAAGTATCTGTGTTTAATAGGTTACCAAAATAAAGCAGAGCAAATTAACCTGAGCTTCTGTACCTCATTTTCTGCTTTCATTCAGTATTTTTCCTTCCAGAATATATTAGCAAAATTTTAGACTTTCCTTTCTTATATTCTTTCATTAAAATGACTTGTGGTTCCACAGAGAAGAGTGTGACTATATGGGGCTTGCTTATGGAAAGATGAGAGACGAACAAATGACACGTAATTCAGATGTGACAGGTCATATGACTGCCAAATAATATGGCCTCATTTCATTATTTGTGTCCCATTTTTTATGGATTTCATGAGCACATCACCACATTTGGAGTTGTTGTTGTTAAGTGCCATCGAGTTGGTTCTGACTCACAGCAACCCTGCATAGGGTTTCTAAGGAGTGGCTGGTAAGCTTGAACCACCAACCGGTAGTTCAAACTGACCTTGCTGTTCAGTGCATTAACTCGCAGCGCCACACCAGAATTCCACATTTGGAGTTAGGTATTTGGATTTTAGATTTCTGAGCAAAGGATTTGACGGTGGGTGAAGAGATTGTGTGTTTTCCAGAGCTTGCCCTTGACCTTGCTGTCATCTCCTCATTAGGACTGCTTTGTCTCCTTGATTTCTTCATTATGACTTACTGCTCCCTGAAAAGCAATTCTGTGTCCTTATTTGTTCCAGAATTAGACACTTTGAATATTTTCCTGTTAAGATTATTAAAAAAGCATGCATTGCAAATGTAGGCCTCATGTTGTTGTTGTTAAGTGCTGTTGAGTTGGTTCCGACCTCATACTGACCCTGCATAGGGCTTCCAAGGCAGAAAGTACTTAAGTCAGTTTATGCCAATCTATTCAAAGTGGTATATATTTTGCCATTTATGATGAAATGTTTTGTTTTCCTCAATGTAGAGAGGGCCCACTGTCTTGGTTAACAGTCATGATTTACCTCATAAAATTTTAGAACTTACCTCCTTCCTCTACTCCTCCCTGCTCCCTGAAAAAAAAAAAAAAAGACGGGGCATGGGGATTGATAGATATAATATGGAGGAACTTTGGATGACTTGAGTAAAACAATGTTTTTGTTGAATTGCAGGAGTTGGGTCTTGGTGGATAATCAGTATAATATCTACCTCTATAGAGAGGGTGTGCTTCGGACTGCTTCAGAGCCATATCACGTTGATAATTTCCAAGACAAAACCTGCCATTTGACCAATCACTGCATTCAAAAGGAGTACTCAAAGAATTATGGGAAGTATGAAGAAGGAAACGAAATGTTCTTTGAAGAGTTCAATCAGTACCTAATAAGTGCTTTGAACATTACCCTGGAGAGTAGTATCTTACTGCAAATCAAACATATAATAAGGTAACTTAATTGTATTTTTTTTAGGTTATCTGTTTCTTCTTGAAGGAGTTGTAAGGAGCTTGTTCATTTGAAGAAATTGGTCCATGTAAGTTGGCAAATTTATAAGCACAGATTATTTATAATATCATTATCCTTTTAATACCTTATAAATCTGTGATATTATTTCTATTTTTACTAATATTGGTAAGTTGTTTTTCTCACTATTTTACTTGGAAAAATTGGCTATAGGTCTATCTATTTTATTAATCTTTTCAAAACATCAGCTTTGGGTTATATTAATTTTCAGTTATTATGATTAGTTCTTTATTATTCCCATCCAGTTTTTCTTGATGTAAATTTTTTTTTCCCCTGTAAAGTGAAAGATTAGATTTGATTATTGATTGGAACCATTTCTTTTCTTTTCTTTTAATATATGCACTTAATTCTGCCAATTTTTTTTCTCTAAGTACTATATTAAATGCATCAAACTGATTTTGATCTTTTCATTTTATTGAAATATTTTCTAATTTCCTTAATGAGTTAATCTATGACACATACAGTGGTTAGAAATTTGTTTCCTTTCCAAATATTTGGTGATTTTCTAGATATCTGTTCATTATTAATTCCTACTTTAATTCCATTATAGTCAGAAGAAGGTATATTTTGTATATATTTCATTTCTTTAAAATTTCTTAAGGTTTGTTTCATGGACCAGCCTATAAGGTCTGACTCACTGACTATTCCATATAGATTGAAAATAATGTATATTCTGCCTCTGTTGAGGGGAGTGTTCTATAAATGTCAGCTAGTCAAGGTGGTGGGTATGTTAAGTGTTCTAGATCCTTGCTGATTTTTTGCTCCACTTGTTTTCTCTATAAATTGGAGTCTCCAAGTAGAATTATGGATTTGCTTCTTTCTCTTTCTGTTTTCCCAGTTTTTGCTTTATATATCTTCAACTTCTATTGTTTATTGCATTTATATTGAGGATTGTTATGTCTTCCTGAGGAATTGACACTTTTGTCATTATGTAATTTATGTCTGTCTTTACTGAAGTCTACTTTGTTTAATATTAATGTAGCTGCTGCAGCTTCCTTTTTATTAGTATTTATATTGTGTGTCTTAGTGTGCTGGTGTGGTGCTGTGGGATAAATCACATACTGATGAAAGTATCAATTCTTCAGGAAGACATAATAATCCTAAATACATATGCAATAAACAATAGAAGTTGAAGATATATCAAGCAAAAACTGATAAAACAGACAAATCCAGTTTAAAGGTTGGTTTAAACTGCAAGGTTGGTAGTTCAGATTTATCAGCTGCTCCTCAGAAACCCTACACAGGATCACTACGAGACTGAACCAACTGGAAGGCACTTAACAACAACATTCGTGACATTTAAAGTGACTTTCTTATAGACACTGTATAATCAGTTTTGTTTGTTTTTAAGTCCAGTGTGACAGCTTGTCTTGTAAATAGTGTGTCATTGTTAAGTACCCTCCAGTTGTATCCAACTCATTGTGACTCTATATAGGGGTTTCCAAGGAATAGCTGGTAGGTTTGAACTGCTGACTTTATGGTGAACAGTCTCCAGTGCTTATCCTGTAGTGCCATTTATAGTTAATGTAATTATTGATATGATTGGACTTAGATCTACCAGATTCCTATTTGTTGTTCCTACCCTTTTTTTGGCCTTCATTTCTCCTTTTCTGGCTCCTTTTCAATTATTTGAATATTTGTTAAAGAATTTCATTTCAGTTTGTCTATTAAACATTTGGCTCTCTCTCTCTCTCTCTCTCTCTCTCTCTCTCTCTCTCTCTCTCTGTCTCTCTCTCTATATATATATTACTCCAGGGACCAAAATATACTGGTGTGGTACTATAGGATAAGCACTGGCCTGCTCACCCCAAAGTCAGTGGTTCAAGCCCACCAGCTGTTCCTGCTACATGAGTCAGAACTTACTCAATGAAACTTAGCAACAACAACATTTCCCAGTCTTCAGAGAGTTAATAATGGTTTTCTTGTTGTTGTTATTGTTGTTGTTATGTGCTGTGGAGTCGGTTCCGACTCATAGCGACCCTGTACAGAGGCTGTAAATCTTTACAGGAGCAGAAAGCCTCATCTTTCTCCCACGGAACAGCTGGTAGTTTCAAACTGCTGACCTTGCAGTTCGCAGCCCAATTCGTTACCACTACGCTACCAGAGCTCCTTAATAATGGTGTATCACTTGTAAAAATGATGTGGCAGAAAACAGTATCTTACCTCCTCTGACTTCACAAAGGGGATGAGAATGAAGATCACCCAATATGGTCCCCAGACAGAAGGAAATGTGGTGCTGTGTGAATACGTTTGACTGCAAGTTTGGTTTGAACTGCAAAGTCGATGGTTCAAGCTCACCAGCCACTCCTTTGAAACCCTGTGCAGGGTTGCTGTCAGTCAGAATCAGTTCAACGGCGCTTAACAACAGAAGGTAAAAGTCCTGATGTAGCGTAGTAGGATAAACTCTGTACTGCTAATCACAAGGTCAGCTATTCAAACCCACCAGCCACTCCGAGGAGATGCTCTACAGGGTAGCTATGAGTCAGAGCCAAATCCACAGCACTTAACAACAACAACAACAGAGGTAAAAAATTCAGGAAAAAATAAAGTCTAATAAGAATTGTGAGCATGTGTATATATTTCTAATATTAAATATAAAACAAAAATAATGCTTTTGATAGTTAAAATCATTAAAAGAATAGCATTATAGCAGAAAGAGGGCAAGTTAGCATTCAGGTTCTTATATTGTCTTAATGGAAGATAAAAGTACCAATTAGCTTTAGATATGAATTAGACTTTAGACCTACAATCAAAAAGCATGATTTCCAAATTTGAGGGAAAATATATAAGAACTAAAACTTGTAACAGGCATAAAAACAAAATTCAAATAAAGATGATCAATTTAAATCCCAAAATTACTTTAGATAAAAGACAAGAAATTTCAAACTGGTTTAAAAAACACACACACATATACAAATATAGGTGTCTTACAAAACATACATCTAAATTACAGGGACTCAGAAATGTAAGTAAAAAGATTAAAATAAAGTTGCATAGCTATTTTATCAGACAAAATAGAATTTAAAGTCAAAAGCACTTCTAGGAAAAGAAGATTATTTTGTAAAGATACAAGAGAAAAAGATATAATATGTTTAAATTACCATGCACCCTATTTACACGGCCTCAAAAAAAAAGTAAAACAAACTTGGCAGAACTTGATCTGAATGGTGTTTAAAGGGTGTTTATATAACTGATGAAGGAGCTCTGGTAGCGTAGTGGTTATGAATCAGGCTGCAAACCTTAAGGTCAGCAGTTTGAAACTACGAGCTGTCCCATGGGAGAAAGATGAGGACTTCAGCTCCTATAAAGAAAGATTTACAGCCTTGAAAACCCTGTACAGGGTGGCTATGAGTCGGAACCAACTCCACGGCACATAACCACCACCACCACCATGTAACTGATAAACTTTATACCAGTTTTATGCATGTATACCAATGTATTATTTTCCACCAAAAATAGATTATCTAACATTTGGTGGAATAAGACAAAGCAAGGCCATCACAATCTATTTCTCCTACTGATTCCAAATGAATAGTCTGACAGAAATCAAAACGCAGTGCTTGAAGACTGAAAATTAAATAGAAGCACGTAGACTGAAGAAAACCATCAAAACTTAGAAATGCGCCATTCGTGGGGATCAGTTCACCCTGCTGCCACTTTTCCTGTTTCTCCATAGTTTTGATTTGAGGATGACTTCTCACTGGAGCTGTGGCATGAGAGGTAAAAGTTTGGGAGGAGGAACTCTTTTCTTCTGGTCAGAGGGATTGGGTCAAAGGGCTTGTGTGGTTTAAAAGGTTGAGAGGAACCCTAACTCCCCTATTCAAAATGTCCAGGATAAAGTGAAAAAATACTGAGCATACAAAGAATGAGGGAAATCTGACCCATCTGGACAGGGGAGGAACAAATGCCAATCCAATCCCAAAATGAAACTGATGTTGGAATTATCAAAGACTTTAAAGTAATTATTATAACTGTGCTCTATGAGGTAAAAGTAAACTCTTGAAATGAATGGATTTACATAAGATCTCAGCAGAACAAAAATAACCATATAGAATTTTTACAATTGCAGATGTACACACAATGTTGAGTATAATTAAAATATGAAATAAAAAAATATATAGTAGATGGGCTCAGAATGGAGATGACAGACGAAAGAATCAGTGAATTTGAAGGCAAATTATGAAGTATAAAGACCAGAAAAAAATGAACAGAAACTCAAGAGATCTGTGCAACACAGCAAAAAATATTAACATTTGTGTCATTGGAATCCCAGAAAAAGAGACGAACGAAATTGGGGCAGAAAAAATATTTGAAGAAATGATTGAAAATTGTCCAATTTAGAAAAAGACAGAAATTTATAGATAGATTCAAGAAGCTTAGCAATCCCCAAACAGAAGAAATTCAAAGAAACCCACTCCCAGGCACACAGTAATCAAATTGCTCAAAAAACAAATATAAAGACAAATGCAGAAGTCCTGGGGTGGCACTTTAGGATAAGCACTGGACTGCTAAACTCAAAGTCAACGGTTCATACCCATCATCCACTCCTTGGAAACCCTATTCCAGGTCACTATGAGTTGAAAGTGACTCAGTGACACCTAACAGCAACGTGACCAAGATAAGGTTAATATCCAAATCATACAAAAGAAGTCTCCCTTAAAGTAAAAAAATCAATACATGATAGATAAAAGAAAAATGAACAAAGGACATAAATAGGTAAGACCAGGAACACGAGTGTTCAGTGAACAGAAATGCTCTTCTTAAATATCTCAAAGAAATATAAATTACCATTACAGTGATATATTTTATTCCATGAGATTGACAGAAATTAAGAAATCTGACGTTATTGATGATAGACAAGGACATAGACCAGTGAGAATTCTTATGTACTCTTGGTACAGATTCTCTTTAGAAACAGTTTGACA